ATTCAGTGTCATCTTATCTTCTTTTTTTTTGTCCTTTCCAAATTATTTTCAAGGAGTTATGATCAGCCCATATACTGGGCATTATTTCCACTGTATCTATATCTTTTTCATTTTTGCCATTCACCCAGACCATATCAATTCTCGACCAAGACTTGAGTGAATTGGAGTAGAATGTATATTCATTATGTTTTGGGTTCCATTTCCACCATATTTCCTCTAAATTTGTTTATTTTATCAATTCAAAAAATGATTTTGGTAAGATTTTCTTTTTTTCTCATTAGTTTGTTCTTTACTAATGTAATCTTTTTCAATATCCATTATAGCATTAAAATCCCGTACTAAGCAAATATTCTCTTGTCCTGTTTCTATTATTTTGTCATGTAGCCTATTGTAGAACTCTTTTTGGTTGTCATTGGGTGTGGGAATAAACTTTGACTTGGGTATTGGGTAATGATTAGTCTAAGACCTTATACATACATGCTTGCTTAAAGGTCACTGAGATAGTGTAAGGAAATTAAAAACAAACACTAGAAACAATCAAGCAGCTCAGACAACTGTAAACAAGTCTGTGCTATATCTAATTATTGTAATCCACAATGTGACTATACTTGCTATGCTAAAATCTCAATAAAAGGGAGCACTGGAATTTGCTCTGGGCTCTCATCCCGAGAACACTCGCTTGTGTCTCATCTTTTCCATGAGAGACCACCACAATTGGGGGCATATATCCCCACCAATAATATTTGTTTTTGTTGAATCATTAATCCCACCATTAATATTCTGCCCTGTTCTTCCACATAGATTTGTTGGGCTTTTATCCCTTTCCTGATATACATTACTACACCCCCTCTTTTTTGTCTGCCAATGCTGTGTACCATATTCCTAATTTTGGGTAATCTAAACATTTACTGTATTGTTTATGAATGTGTACCTCTTGTAGGCACACAATATCTGCTTTTTGTTTAACTAATTTTACAAAGGTTTGTTTTCTCTTGGCCGGGGAATTTAATCCATTAATGTTTACTGAAATTAGTTTGATTTATTCCTCCATTTTACTAATTGTAGGTCTATCTTGGTCTTCTATTGGTTCTTACTTCTCTCTGTGTTCTTAATTCTTAGTCCTCCTCTTCTCAGTTGTTCTCTCTCTTTCTTGTCTTTTTCTTTTTGTTCTACTTCTTGTATCTCCTGTTGTTAGTCTTCTTGGCTTCTACTTTCCAGCTCATCCTTACTGCTGGTTTCTTCTTCTGACCCCACCAGCTGCTCATTCAGTTCTTGTGCTTTCTTGATACTGTTGATTCTAATTTTCCTTTCTTGCCATGTGATCAACATTCTTTCTGCAACTAGCCATCGGAACCATATTTTTTGTTTATTCAGTGATGTTGCTAGGAAACTATTCTTTTCTTTGTTCCCTCACTCTTCTTGGGATCTGCTTCAAGGTCACAATTTCTTTATCTTCATGCAACATCGATTCCTCTTTAGTGATTTTATATGATATCTTTTACCTTCTTCCTCGCAAATCATATGTGCACCTCTCTCAGCAGCTTGTGTCTCCTCGTGTAATTTGTGTGTATTCTGTACACCTCGTCGAGTTTGTTCACAATTTCCTGCCAATACCTCTGTAACGCTTCCGCTATTAGTTCTGACATAATAGCTCCCAGGTCTTCATCTTTGGCTTCTGCAACGTTCTGGAATGTCAGATAGAATGTGGCGCACTCCATTTCTAGGTGTACTATCGAGTCTTCCAAGTCTTTGTTCATCACCATTACTTTCCTATCCATCACTTCCAGCTTTTTTTCCATTTGTTCTGCCTTAATTTCCACATTTTTTTTTATTTTTTGCTCGTTTCTTTCTATTGTTTGTTGGATTGTACCTACATTTTCATCTAATTTATGGATATCTCCTTTCATTTCTCCCATCTCTGTCTTTAATTCCGTGTTGTTCTTCGACATCATCTCCTGCATTTTCAACATCGTTTCCTGTATGGCTAACAATGTTGTTTGCATCACTTGCAGTATTACTTGACTTTTCCGTACTCAACATCCCCTCAATCGATTTCTGACCAGATGGTGATGCAATAGATGATAAACCTGACATCGCTTTTTTTTCCTTTCAGTGTCATCGTTGTAATGCTTGTCATGTTCTTTATCTTCTAATACAGTTCTTCCCAGTCACCATCCACTATTGTTTAAATACTTCATTCTTTATCCACTCAATTCGACTCTATACACTCAATACAGCATCAACTTTCCAGTATATATATTTCCTTCTATATTTATCCAATTCTATGCAAAAAAACTAATATTGTTATTATAGTTATATTCTTATATATAAATTAACTATTTTAGCAATTTACAATAACTTTATATGCTTATATTCTTATATTCTTACAATATATTTGTTATTCAACCAAAGATCTATAATGATCACCACTTTCGTGTTCAATTTCTTTCTTAAATGTTCCTCTAATTATCCCTAACAAAAACATTTAAGGCTTAAATTCTATGTGAAATCCAGTAATTTCTTGCAACCATGTTCTAATTTTATTCCAGTATTCTTTTGCTTTAGGGCAGGACCACCACATGTGTGATGACCGAGAGTGTAACACAAACATAACAAAATCCAAAACGGAAATAAATGTCCTTTAATGCCTCCAATTTGGCCCCACTGTTCAATAATTCTCAGTTGGAGATAAAACATACTCAAAAATAGTCTTCAAAAGAAAGCAATACAGTCCGAATTTAATGAGCAGATAGAGGTGAAAATAAAAACCAAACAAACTATAATGATGAAATTTCCACAACAGAACAGGAGAAATATTTACCAAATTCAAGGAGATAACAAGGCACGGTCTTTTGGAAGGACACCAACCAAGATAACCTCAAACCAAAATAAAACATACTTTGTCTCCAGCGTTTGCCAGAACGCAGGTCCAAACTCTTATGCAGTTTTCACATCTGCAGCCCATGAAGAGGATCAAGGCTCTCTCCTCCCAAATAGACCACGTCTCTCCCTTATCCTCTCCTCCCTGCGTGCCCTAGGATGGATAGGGGATGGGCCTGGGTCCTCCTCTGACTTCCCCAGCCTCCTCCACAACCTCCAGAGCCACACTTTCACTCCGTTGGCTGTTCCTCCTCTCCACCAGGGGCATGACACTATGTGAAAGAAGGTACCTTGTTTATTTTTGCACTTCCAGCATCTAGGGTTCATATTTGGGTAAATTTTGCCAATCTTGCTGGTGCTAGATGCCAACGATAAAACATTTTGTAAAGGTTCTCCTTATAAGCAGCAGCCATAGTCAATTTATAATTTTGGTCCATAATTTTCCCCAATCTTCTAATTGTATATTGTATCCAAAATTTTTCTCCCAGGCTATCATTGTTCCTTTAACAGTTTCCTCTTCCCTATCAGATTTGAGTAGATAATTGTACATTTTAGTTATAAATTTTTCTTCTGACCCTAATAAAATTTTGTCAATTTGTTTTGGTGTTCTATCTGTACCGAATTCTTCCATGTCCTTTTTATATCTTGTTTGCAACTGCAAATAAGGCTACCAATCTATCATTATTCCCTCTTCTCTTAGTTCTTGGTTTGTTTTTAATCTACCTTGGTTATCTAGTAATTGGCTATATCTTATAATTTTGGTTTTATTGAATGTATTTAGATATATCATAGCTTCCATTGTTGATAACCACCCTGGGATTTTGATATGTTTTCTTTTTATTTTCTCCAAAATTTGTAATAATGCATCTCTAATTTGGTGGTGCCACCCTATTTGCAGATCAGGCCCTTCCAGTGTTATTATTTTTTTGTTATTCAAGGATATCCAATCTTTAATCCATAGCAGTGCTGCTGCATAGTAGTAGGATTCCCAGTCAAGTAGTCCGAAGCCACCTCTATTTCTGTTATCCTGCAATAACTTTAGCCTTATTCTTGGTTTTTTTCCAGCCCATATAAATTTAGTTGTTATCCTATTTAATTCCCCAAAGAATTTTTTGTTAAGTTTTATAGGAATCATTTGGAATAAATACAACCATCTTGGTAATAAATTCATTTTTATTGCAGAAATTTTTCCTACTAATGATAGTTGTAATTTTCCCTACATTTCCAAATCTTTGTCTGATTCATTAATTTATTATGTCTTCTTTTATCGACGAGCACCTCATTGTTAGTCAAATTCCTAAATATTTAATTTTATTTGTAATTTGCAGTTCCGTTTTCCTTTCTAATTCTTTTTTCTGGCAATCTGTAAGGTTCTTAGCTAATATTTTAGACAGTATGATTGTAAAGATAATTATGGATTGTGCAGAAATGGCAAAACTCATGTTGGAATTACAAGAGAGGAAAGAGAAGGAATATTATACAGTCTGGAAAAAATGGTATAGTTGGTTGGATGATAGGACAGCAAGAATAAAAAATAATATAAACAAATAAATGTATATATAAATATATAGATAGTTAACAAAAACTGGGAAAGTAGATGTCACAACATTGTAAATATGGTATTTGTGTTGTTGGGTTGTTTTGTATTTGTGTTGTTTTTAACTGTGTAAAATTTAATAAAAACGTATTTTTAAAAAAGGAAATATGTTCTCTGACAATATATAAAGAGAAGTTTCTTAATGCTTTTAAAAATATCATTTTGTTAAAATTAGCAGCATGAACAGAAAGTACAGGAAACAGGAAATGCAGCTGAGCTTCTGCTTCCTATGTCAGCTTTCTCCTCACATTTTGACTTCTTGTATTAACCCATGAAAAAGGCAGGTCTCATTTATGATCTTAAACTCTTTTAGTTCTGTGCATTCTACCAGTCATCCACTTCTGAGTTTGTGTAAATAAGTTTATTTTTTAATTATAGCCTTTTGCATCCTCGGTGACATGAAAAGTATTTGTGATTTGTTTGTTAGCCTAGTAAAGTCTGCCACTAATAGAAAGATAAACTCTACCAAAATGTTTTAACACATACACAAATTCAGGATAAAAAGACCAGCTTTAGTACTTACCCGGTGCGTAAACGGAGACTGTATACTCATTCTCGATACTTGCTGATAGTCGCAGTGGCTGACAGCTCTTAGAAGAAAACTCTACTTCCATTTTTATTTGTCTATCCAATTTACACTTTAGGATTATAAAAATGGTTGTCTGCACCTACAGTAAAAAAAACATTGTAAGATCTAGGGCCTTTGGAATATTCTGTTTTCACAATACATTGGTATCTTTTCGGGCATGAGGATCTAAAGCATAAGTTCTCCTTATTTGTGCTTGGGATGAGGAGGAATGCATCTTTTTTTTCAACCCTATATAGATGGCTGCTGAGCCTGATAACATTGGTTCAGAGGGAATGAAACAAAATTTATTCTCATCACAACTTGATTGTTGTGGTGACAGTGATAATGAGAGGAGACATTGCTGTCCTTCATTTAGCAAATTCATAAGTGTCATGCAATATTAAAAGCATTAAAATGTATTTAGGCACTTAAGCCAATTACAAACAAGCTCTATCACTCAGCAAATATCAGTCACATTTTTTTCTAAAATATGTATTTTTAGGCAGGGGGAGATGAAAATTTTTACAAAGCTATGATTAAAAAATTATACTCATTTTGCCTGCTGCTATTGACTCTTACATTATTTTTCTATCCATGTTATTTTCAGTCAATTATAATTTTTCAACAGTTTTTCACAAAACATTTGAATGCACACCTCCACATTCAATTAACACTGCATTTGATTTCAGTTATTCTAAATAGTTATTTATCCTTAAGAGTCATGTTCAGCCTTCCAAAATATATGAAGCAGTTAGATTCTTAAAACTTTCCAAGGATTTTCCAACAGGCTTTGGTGCACATGGCTTGTTTCTCCTCTCTCCACAACAGAGAGCCCAATTGTCTGAGCCCAATCTACCCATTTTGCAAAGCAGCTCAGGTGACTAATAAAACAATTGCAGGATTGAAGAAATTGTAGTACAATATTAGAAAGAACCAGCTCAGTTTAGGGCAGAACTGGTTTTAAAAGAAGACCTTTCTCCCTCCTTTTTGTTCCACATAAATATTTTAAAAGGCTGAAAGTAGAAGACATCCAAGCTCCCTTCCAACTCTTGTTAGTCTATTATTCATGCAAAAACCACCACATGTGTTGTCAGTCCTCCTTTCACTCTGGAGGGGGTGGCAAATCCACAGCTTCAGTCCCTCATGGACACTAAGCTCCTTCTGAAATACAAGAGAGCAGCTTTGGCTGGTGTCCCAGTTGAAGCACTTTTGAGAGCAGAAGACCTTAGCAAAAATTACCTATATCTTCATTACCCCTAGACTGGTTTACTGTAATAGTCTCTTTGCTTAGACCTACCCTTAAGATTACCTGAAACTATAATTGTTTCAAAACTCAGTTGCACAGAGTTACCCTGTGTTAAGATGGGTAGCCAGTACATTTAATAAACAAATAAAATAATAAATAAAATGCAGTAGCCTATTTGCTGTCAGGTAAGAACCACTTTTGAAGTACAGAACCAATATGGATGGTGCTACTCTGATTACCAAGTTTCTCAATGAAACCAATAAATCCCTATACAATTTGGGTCTGGGTTAACCAAGGTATCATTTCTTCCAAATTGAATTATCTCATCTTATTGTTTATTATGGCAGGGATGCTGTAGGTTTTCTCTTTTCAGGACATTGTGGAGGAAAGGGGAGGAAACAAGCTAGAAACCTGGAAACCAACCTTCTTGGTACAAGCACTATCTTTTTGATAGATTCAGGCCAACTATGCAGCCGACAAAGATAAAAAAAATCATTATAGTTATGTTTGAGCAGAACTACAACATCAATAAAACCCCAGCAACATAAGTTGTTTCCCTCCCCCATAAGATGAATTACAGAAAACAAAACTCAAATTCAACCCAAACTCATGTAAGACCTCAGATAACACTAGAAAAAGGAAATGCATAATAAAAAAGAATATGGCAGGGATAGAGTACTTTTGGTAAACCAGATGTGACCTGTGATTTAACTAAGCATCCTTAATCAGTCTCTATGCTGGCTAAGGTTGCTTACGTTTTGGTTGAAGAGTACTGTATTTGGTTGCAGATTCACCATCTCTTGTCCAAGAAAAGGAAAATGTGTTACAGAACTCAGTTACATATATCACACATTTTCTTACCTACATAGTCAACTCAAAAATTTGGCTAGCAGTGTTAAGGACAAATCTGCTTGTGAATAGCTGTGTTATTATAATTAAGCTGTATCTACTGCAGGGCATGATTTCTCTTCCAGTTCTATCAGATCAACTTTGAAAAAGTAGAAATATACTGTACCCCACAGCGTATACGATCAGGCTGCACTGCAACAAGATTTTCTAATCTGGTCACTAAAGTTTCATATGCCTGGCAGGCTGGAACAGTGTATGACACTTGTAGACGCCCAGCATCCTCCATCTTTGCATCAGCCACTGAATCACAACCAGAATCTAAGAAGAGGATAAACATTAATGTGATTTCAGAAAATTGTTTGGCTATTAAGAAAATCCATAAAAAGAACATGAATTAAAAATTAAATGCATTCTATATAAGAAATATTACTTGAACTCAGTAAGGATCATATGGAGAGCCAGTTTGGTATAGAGGTTAAGGTATCAGAGTAGAAACAGGAGACCATGAGTTCTAGTCTTACCTTAGACACAAAGTCAACTGTGTGATATTCCTGGACATTGTGGTGGGCACACTCTGCCTACCCTAGGAAGGAGATAATGGGAAGCCACTTCCAAAGTCTTGGTAAGGGACTTGTCCAGGCAGTCACCAAGAGTCAAGAATGACTTAAAAGCACATACAAACACATAACACACAAAATGATCATATTGATAATATTATTATGCACAATCTCTTAATCTGGGTCTCTTTCCAGAAAAGATCTGAGTTGGTAAAACCCTCCCCCTCTGCTGCTGCAGGTGCCCTTTCCATCACAGATAGACAGATTAGTGATCTACATTACAAGAGAACTGATGTCAATAAGCTAAAGAAAAAAGTAGGAAGGATTCTATAGATGCTTTCTCCATTTTTATGGAGAAATTCTGAAAAATGACATAACCATAACTCATGACTAGGAACCAGGGGGTTTGACACCCATGCCCTACACCATTTCTGACAAATGGCAGTCCAATCTCTTCTTGAAAGCCTCCAATGATGAAGCTCCCACAACTTCCGAAGGCGAGCTATTCCATTCCTGTTCATTGCCAGAAAATTTCTCCTTAATTCTAGGTTGAATCTCTCCTTAGATCAGTTTCCATCCATTATTCCTTATCTGGCCTATAGGTGCTTTGGAAAATACAGTAGCTTGACCTCTTCCTCTCTGTGGCAGCCCCTCAAATATTGGAACACTGCTATCATGTCTCCCCCTGGCTTTCTCTTCACTAGATTAGCCATGCCTGTTCTTCATATGATTTAGTCTCCTATCCCCTAATCATCCTGGTTGCTCTTCTCTGCACTATTTCTAGAGTCTCAACATCTTTTTAATACTGTGGCGACCAAAACTGGATGCAGCATTCTAGGTGTGGTCTTACTAAGACTTTATAGAGTGGTATTGGTACCTTATCTTATTATTAATACCTTGATCTTGATTGTATCCCTCTGTTAATGCAACTTATGATTACATTGGCTTTTTTGGCTGTCACCGCACACTATTGGCTCATATTTAATTGATTGTCCACAAAGATGCCAAGATCCCTCTTACTCTGCTATTAAGCCTGGTTTTATCCAGTCTATATGTGTACTTTTGGTTTTTCTTGCCTAAGTGTAGGACTTTACTTTTCTCTACATTGAATTTCATTTTGTTACATAGGGCCCAGGGTTCAACCGGGTCAAGATCCATCTGGATTTTCAGCCTATCTTCTTGGGTGTTGGCTATTCCTGCCAGCTTAATATATCTGCAAATTTGGTAAGTTCTTCTATTTCCTCATCTGAGTTGTTTATGAAGATACAAAAACTGTTCTTTATATGTTTTTGTCTCCGGGACCTTAATCATCTTAGTTGCTCTTCTTTGCACTTTTTCCAAATCTCAACATCTTTTTTGTAATGTGGTGACCAAAACTGGATGCAGTATTCTAGGTGTGGTCTTACTAAGGCTTTATAAAGCAGTATTAATACTTCTTGTGATTTTGATTCTATGCCTCTGTTTATACAACCAAAGATTATATTAGTTTTTTTGACTGCTGCTGTACACTGCTGACTCATGTTTAAGTGATCATCCACTAGGACTCCAAGGTCCCTCTCACAGTTACTGTTTTTGAGCTAGGTTTCACCTAATCTGAACTTGTAGTTTGGTTTTTCCTGCCCAAGTGTAAAACCTTGCTTTTTTCCACATTAAATTTCATTTTGTTGGATAGGGCCCATTGTTCAAGTTTGTCAAGATTTTTTGAGATCCTGCACTTGTTTTCTGGGATACTGGCTATTCCTGCCAGCTTGGTGTCATCTGCAAATTTGATGAGTTCCCCATCGATCCCCTTGTCCAAGTCATTGATGAAGATGTTGAAGAGTACTGGGCCTAAAACAGAGCCTTAGGGTACTCTACTGCATACTTCCTTCCATGTAGATGCAGTTCCATTGAGGACTACATGTTGACTATGATTGGTCAGCCAGTTATGACTCCATCTGGTGGTGATGCTGTCAAACCCACATTTTTCTAGTTTATCTAGTAGTAGGTTATGGTCTACTTTATCAAATGCCTTACTGAAGTCCAAGTAAATTATATCTGCTCCACTAATTTTATCACTTTGTCAAAGAATGAAATAAGACTAGTTTGGCATGATCTGCTATTAACAAACCTGTGCTAACTACTAGTAATAACTATTTGTTTCTAGATGTTCACAGATTTCCATTTTCCCCCCCAGTATCTTCCAAGGTATTGATGTCAGACTGATTGGTCTGTAGTTTTCTGGTCTGTTTTTAACCTTTTTTGAAGATGGGAACCACCTCAGCTTTTCCAGGCCTCTGGTAGTTCCCCAGTGCTCCAAGATTTTTTTAAAATATATGATACAACGGTTCTGAGATAACATGTGCCAGTTCCTTCAGAACTCTGGAATGTAATTCATTTGGTCCTGGTGATTTGTATTCATCAAGATCAGACAGGTTTCCTTTACCATTTTGGGGGGCTTATTTTAATTTTTATTTCTAGTTCTGTCTTTTATGGATTTGTTTTTGGTAGGTTGGGCTATAGTTTCTTTTTGCGTGAAGACCGATGCAAAGAATGAGTTGAGCAGTTTGACATTCTCTCTGCTGACTTTTACTTCCTTGCCATCTTCTCTTTTTAGTGGATCAACTGTTTCCTTGACTTTTTTCTTGTTAATTATATATTGAAAGAAGCTTTTTTAAAATTATCTTTGACTTTTGTTGCAAGTCTTTGTTCACTGAGCCTTTGCTTTCCTGACTTCATCTTTGTAGATTTGGGCTATCTGCTGACATTCTGCCTTAGTTATGTGTCCCCCTTTCCATTTTTTGTACTTATCTTTTTTGTCTTCCAGTTTATCAGAGAGATCTTTGTGCAACCATGCTGGTTTCTTCTTGAATTTCTTTTCTAGTGGTATTGTGTTGGACTGGGCTTTTTTGATCATATTTTTCACTTCTTGAGTTGTTGATCATATTGTTCACTTCTTGAGTTGTTTTCCCCTTTAGGGTTTTTATCCATGAATTTTTGCTTAGGCTCTCTCTTGAGTTTGTTAAAATTCGGCTCTTTTAAAATCTAAGACAATGGTTGGATTATATTTTATTGCTTCTGTTTGCATTATATTGAATTCCAGTATGACGGGGTCCCTGTCGCCCAAAGTTCCGGCAACTTCAACTCCCTCTATCATTTCTTCTCTATTAGCAAGAATTAGGTCCAGTAAGCCCTACATAAGAGCCTGAGCAGCTGGTGTCCAACCATTCTGTCTGGTTGATCATGGTGCCATGGTCATGTGATGCAGGGGGTGGAGCCACCCCACACTGACTTACCTCAGGGCCCCCACAGAATACAGAAAAGTAATTATACCTGCAGACTAAAATGTTGCTCTTCAGCAAGTCATTTAACAATGTATGAAAATGTTTCTTGTAAGTTTGTTGATTTATAGAAGATTATGATAAAAGATATGCAATTGTATTATGGAAATATAATACAATGCAAATATAAAGATGACTAATTGCAACATGAGCAGTTAGTAATATATGAGGCAAATAGAGTTTCTGGATGAATAAATGGAATGCTTAGGAAATAGTTCATCTCTAAGAAGGGAGTAGGGCAATAATACAGCACATAATTAGGAGATATATTTTAGATATAGGAATTAAAAATATTAAAGTGGAGGGAACTTCGGGAACAAGTGATTCACATTGATTTTAACAAAAATCTTGCTATGAAGACTCAAATCATGGGATTCAGTAAGGCTACTTTTAATAAATTAAGAAAAACAGCAAGTAAGATGTGATAAAAGGGGAAAAATCCGCGTCCCATCTATATTAACACTAATTACAAGTCTACTTTCAGACTGCAGAAAGTTAGATAATATCAAGTCAGTATCCACAAATTTCCTCCTCATAAAACAGGCAAGAGATGCTCTTTTTCACAAGCCAGAAGTTTTGTTCCTCATGAGCCACCTTTTTCCATGATTTTGAAACACGAAGAATTTAGGAGGTTAGGGGACCGAGAAATATTTCCTCACCCTAACTAAACAGAGAAAGGTTGTTTTCTTTGCCTTTTCTTATCTCTCAAGGATTAAGTGGTTTTCCTGCAAATTTCAGAGAGTTGGATCCTTGTTCAGTAGAACCTCTGGTCATGAACACTTCTGGCCACGAACAAACCAGGTTCCGAAAAATTCACATCATTTTTGAATCTGGTGATGAACACATACTCAGGTGGCGATCAAACATGGCTATGGCCAATTTCCCCTTCAGCGCCATTTTTATTTGTAAGCACATGCTCAGTCAGTCTTGTTTCCGGTCACGACCAAATCGATTTGCGACCAAAGTTACGGAACAAATTATGGTTATGACCAGAGGTTCTACTGTAGTTCCTTTCAACTCTAGGATTGATTGATAGGTATCAGAAGAGCCAGTTCTGACAAGGTTCATCTAGTACTAGGTAGAGTCTATAGATACAAATCCTCAGAAAAAGGAATTCTCCTATGAATATATTTAAATAAAGGCTGGATGGACATCTTCTGGGGATGCTATATTAGTGAATTTCTACACTAAGGAAGGGGTTGGGCTAAATATTCTACACGTTCTCTTCCAACATGTGCATCCTATCATACTCTGATTTTACAAAAGGCAAAGGCAGTAAACATTAGAAAATGGCCATGGTGCTTGACAACCTAATTTTTAGTTAAGTGACATCAATCAATCGGAATAGAGCTGGAATGTACCTTGGAGGTCTAGTCCAACCCTCTGCTCAAGCAGGAGACCCTATACAATTTGAGACAAGTGGCTGTCCAGTCTCTTCTTCATCAACCTCCAGTGATGAAGCACCCACAACTTCTGAAGACAAGCTGTTCCATTGGTTAATTGTCCTCACTGTTAGGAAGTTTCTCCTTAATTCCAGATTGCTCCTCTCCTTAATTAGTTTCCATCCATTATTTCTTGTCTTGCTTTCTGGTGCGTTGGAAAATAAGTTGACCCCACTTCTTTCTGGTACCCCCTCAAATACTGGAATACTGCTATCATCTTACACCTAGTCCTTCTTTTTTCTAGACTAGCCATACCCAGTTCCTGCAACCGTTCTTCATATGTTTTAGTCTCCAGGCCTTTAATTATCTTATTTGCTCCTCTCTGCACTTTTCCCAAAGTCTCAATATCTTTTCTGTAATAGTGACCAGTCCCATACATTTGTTAAAACAGCACTCTCCAACCTTTCCAGCTTGGTGGCACAGTGGGGAGGAGGGGGGTTAGTTCAGTGTGAGTGGCAGGTGCATGTGTGACCATGTACAGCTCCAATTCCTGAAGCTTTGCACATTTGCACATTCACCCACCACTCACACAAGTGGAGCTACACATGTACACACGCTTGCCCACCACTTGCACAGCTCAATTCCAAATGACCTGCAACCCAGTCATGGATTGTGACCTGGGAGTTGGGGACCTCTGCATTAAAACATTAGCTTATATATTGATATATCTTTTCTGGTTCTGCATAGAAAGGGGTAAAAATATATTGAGAAAGAGCTCTTTGAAGCCTAAAAGCAAATACAAGAAAATCCTCTAGAGCACAATCATTATTTAGCAATTACTATGCATTCGGGAAGTATTCAGACCCTCTTCATTTTGTTATGCTGCAGCCTATTTCTACAATTGAATTTCATTATTGTCATTAATCTATACTCAGTATCCCATAATGACAAAGTGAAAACAGAAGTTTAGATATTTATTTATCTGTAAAATTTATTTTAAAAATCTCTTAGTCTCTGCTGCTGAAAAATAGCCACCACCATGTTGGGATGATACAGGTGATGAGTAGTGCCTGGTTTCCTTCAGACATAAAGTTTAGAATTGAGGCCAAGCAGTTCAATCTTGGTTTCATCAGACCAGAGAAACTTATTCCTTACAGTCCTTCAAGTTAATGGTGGGATTCAAATTTTTTTACTATCAGTTCTGTGCGCGTGGCTTGGTGGGCGTGGCATGGCTTGGTGGGCATGGCAGGGGAAGGATACTATAAAAATCTCCATTCCCATCCCACTCCTGGGGAAAGTTTACCGCCAGTTCTCCGAACTACTCAAATTTTCCGCTACCGGTTCTCCAGAACTGGTTAGAACCTGAATACCACCTCTGCTCCAAGTAATTTTTTGCAAATTCCAAGAAGGCTTTCATGTGTTTTGCACTGAGTCATAAAGCCCAGATCGGTGAAGGGCTGCAGTGATGGTTGTCCTTCTGGATCTCTGATGTCCCATCTCCAGGATCTCTGGAGCTCAGTTACCATCAGGTAACTTCTTGGTCACCTCTTTTACTAAGGCCCTTCTCCTCCATTGCTCAGTTTGACCAGGCAACCAGTTCTTGGAGGAGTTCTAGTTGTCCCAAACTTCTTCCATTTGAGAATTATGAAGACCACTGTGCCCTTAGGAACTTTCAGTGCAGCAGAAATTTTATTATAGGCTTTCCCAGCTCTGTGCTTTGCAATAATCCTGAACTCTGTAGGCAGTTCCTTTGACCTCATGGCTTTTTACTCTGCTACAGTATGCATTGTCAGCTGTGAGGCCTTCTATAGAGAGATGTGTGCCTTTCCAAATAAGGTCAATTTAATTTACCACAGGTGGACTCCAATCAAGGTGTAGAAATATTGTCAGCAACTATCAAGAAAAATAGGAGCACTAGAGTTAAATTTCAAGTGTTGTTGCAAAGGGTCTGAATGCTTATATCAATATATTTCAGTTTTTTAAATTAATTTACAGACATTTTGAAATTCTATTTTCACTTTGTCATTATAGGGTACTGATGTAGATTAATGAGAAAAAAATTTCAACAACTGTAAAATCAGGCTGCAGCATAACAAATTTGACAAAAGTGAAGGGGGTCTGAATACTTTCTGAACACACTGTAAGTAGTTGAGCTTTTTTCAGAAGATAATCCTGAATCTCATTGATCCTATGCAAATAATAAAACAGAAAAATACAGATATGAAAGTAATTTCTGCAATTCAGTACTTACGTAATTTTGTAATATGTAGTATTGATATCCCTGTTGAAGCATCTAATTTAACAAAGTTGCATGCTATTAAATCATAGGTGTCAAACTCGATCGCATCATGTGATGTATCATGTTTTTTGCCTTTGCGGAGCTAGGATGAACATGGCCTGTGCATGATGCATCCAGCCCACGGGCTGACAGTTTGACACCCCTGTATTAAATTATCCACTGACATTGGCCCCAGTCATTTGTAATTTTTGTCCTCTGCAGTCAAATATATTTATAATATTTTTTCTTACATTCAATTCTTGCAGAATGCCTTAACACATCCCTTCAGATTTCTTGGCAATTATTTTCAGAACTGGTTTTGCCTGCTTCTTAAAGCTGACAGTGAGTGACTGGCCCAAGATCACCTCGGCTTTGTGCTTAAGGTGGAACTTGAACTCAGGATTCTTGGTTTTTAGCCTGATATCTTTACCACTACACCAAACTACAGGTGGTCCTCAACTTAAAACAGTTCATTTAATGATTGTTCAAAGTTACAATGGCACTGAAACAAGGGACTTATCACCATTGCATCATCTCCATAGTCACATGATCAACATTCTGATGCTTATCAACTGATTCATATTTATGATGGTTGCAGTGTCCCGAAGTCATGTGATCCCTTTTTGTGACCTTCTCATGAGCAAAGTCAACGGGGAATGCAAATTCACTTAACAAATGCTCTTAATAACTGTGAAAAGAAAAATCATAAAATAGGTCAAATTCACTTAACAAATGTTTCACTTAGCAACAGAAATGTTGGGCTCAATTGTGGTCATAATTCGAGGACTACCTGTATCTCTCAGATTTATAACATGAAACAAGGAAAACAGCATCAGTATTTGATTTTACAGTTGTATGCAAAGTTAAATATTTTGAATATAAAAGTGCAAGGCTCGTTTCTAAGGAAGGTTTAGAAAACAATGCATGATGAAAATCTGGAGAAAGTCTCCAGTTAAACAATCAACTATTTAACTAACTTTATTTAATTTTTATTTCATTAGATTTAGATACCACCTAACTCTAATAGATTTTGAGCAGCTCACAGAAGAAAAATAAATGATACTGTACAACGCAGAGTAAAGCCATACCCAGAATGGGGAATACAGACATTTTTTTTAAAAAAACATAGCACCTTACCTGCTTCTGAAATAACATTTATGACTGCATCAACATAAGCCTCTGGTTCATCATCATAGGTAAGCTCTTTCCATTGAGACCAGTCTTTGAAAAACTCATTGTAATTCTCACATGCTGAAACACCACAGAAAAATTTCACCACTTTTGATGGAGGTTGTAGAATATTTTGCAGACTCTGAAGTACAGCAGGAATACAGAAGCTCTGTACCAATTCAGATGACAGTAGAATAATTATACACTTGCTGTTCTTGAAGGAAACCTGTTCCGCCATGGAAATAGAAGCTCTGTTCTCCACTTTATAGCTCTGAATTGCTTGGCATGAGTGCAAGAGACTCTGAAGATACTGACACCATTCATCAGCATCTTTTCCATATACAATCAGCACACTGCAAGCATCAGAGTGTTGTTCTGTTGAAAAGTAAAATAAGTTTGATCTTACAAATAGGGTGTTAAGCTACACTAATTTAATCAAATTTCAGTGTTGTTTTCCTACTTTACCCCATCTTGGCTGATACAAGACTGCCATGTACCCTGGGTGGGGGAGAGGGACAACAGATAGGAGGGGAAGACCAGAAACCAAAACTACTCGAGTGCCTGCCAGAGACATCAGCTGGCTGACCCTAAGCCCACAAGCATGGGAATGGAATGTCCAATGTTTAAGCCAGAATGGCAATAACAATCCACCCAGAGAATCACCTCTACTGTGGAGATTGTGCAAGAGATGTCAGACCATAATGGAGAGAAGGAGGAGATGGAGCCTGGGGGTCAGCCACTTTGAAACTGAGGGACAGGAGGGAGTATCCCTGGGCTAGAAGAAGTGGAGACTCCCCCAGAAGTAAGCACCTGACTGAAAGAGTCAGGAGTAACTCCTACCTGTGGGAGCCAATCCCAAGCCTGGTGCTCCATACAGGCATGTGAGCCCATACCGGATGAACCAGATCTTCACATGATGGTGCTTGAGCAGGCAACTCATTTTCTGAGGGATGCCTTTGACAAGCTGAGAACTGAAGGGCAGATCCACCATCAGCGCAGCAGACCCAGGGGGCAGCAGCCCAGCCAGCAGTTGCCTGACCAGCTCCACCACTGACCTGAGCCACTATCCCTGGAGGAGGAGACCTCAGTCCAGTGGTGCTAGGAGTGAAATTCAATGGAGATGTGAAATAGCTGGTATTATGTATATGTAAATAACGTAATTGGGTTGACAATATATAAACTACAAATATATATGTTTGTAGCTTTAAAGGAAAATACTGTGATGTATTATGCTGTGTTCTGGTTGATTAAATATGCTACAAGTTGCCATAAGAGGGAGCTATAGATCATGGTTTAATTCTCTTTCTCTTTTTTACTGATGATCTCTCTTGATACTGATACTGACTACGGACCGATACTGACTAACCCTGTTTATTTTGATATTCTGTTGATATCAAAGGTTATTTGTTATATTATGGTTTGATATTTGTCTGCTGTAAAAGACATGGAACCGGTAAGAAGACTTTATAACTAGATGTAAGAAGACTTTATAACTGGATATTTCTGGACTGTTAAAAATGTGTATAACATGGACTGTTTATTGGACTGTGCCATTTTTTCAAGTAAACATTAATACAACTTGTTCAACTCTATGTGGTTGTATATTTCTTCGTAACTGTTCTCATAAACCGTTTTCCATGTGCATATCCTTTTTATACAAGGGTTACTCTGCACATATCCTAACAACTGGCCTTCCTCCTAACCTGTGTGGAATTACATGGAAGAGTATGGTGCAGATCTACTGAACAACCTGGCCAAAGGGTAGTGCATCACCATGGCCTTTGAGGAAGAAGCCACACAGAGGCTAGTGGCTTCCCTGATGATGACACAATGAAGCTGCACCAGTTCAACAGATTTATGGCTGCCTAGAGGAAGCGGTTTGAAGACCCACTTGCTGACCAGATGGTATGAACCCGACCAAAATCCTCAAGCAAGCAAGAAGATGCATCACAGCCTACATTCAAGAGTTCTGAAGCTTGGCCAGCAAACTGGCAGATTGGCTTCAGGGCATGCTGATAGTGTGCTTCCAAGAGAGGTCGGCCAACAAAGTATTCTACTCCTGTCTGTCCAGGGGGGTGCCAAGGACCCTCCAAGACTGGTATGTCCTGGCAGATTAGGTGGAAATCAACTGGCCAAATACTACGCACATACCATTCAAGAACAGCAAAGTTTATTTGGGCCAAAAAAATGAGAGCCTTCAAAACCAAGAAAACAAAACACCAGTTCTCGCTGCTGCAGGGCCAGATGCTTTTGGTGTGGTAAAGAACGTGATTGGGGGGCTGATTGCTGAGCTGCGGCATCCACAGGAGCTAAAAAAAAGGGCGGCAAGGAGTCAACCATGCACTGCCAATTAGGAAAGTGAAAGGGCAAAGCACAGCAGTAGCATGCAAGTAGACAAATCTCTCTTTGCTAATCCCAAGAGAGTATTGGAACTTGAAAGAAATCTTCAGTGAACAGGATTCAGACATGCTTCCACCTCACTGGCCCACAAACTGCATCACTGAAATTCTACCTGGGGCCTAATTACCCAAACCCAAGCTCTACTCTATGACACTGAGAGAGCTGAGGAACTGAGGGCAATCACAGATAAGAATTTAGCCAGAGGTTTTATTCAATCTACAAAGTTGCGCATGGCATCTCCCGTGCTATTCTGGGAAGAGAAAGATGGCTCCCTTCATCTATGCATGGACTATCATGGGCTTAGTGTGATCTGTGTGGAAAATGTATATCCCCTATTGCTAATGAAGGACATGTTAGCCCATCTAGCAAAGTGGAATTTTTTTTACCATGCCAGATTTGAGAAAAGCCTATTACCGGGTATGGTTCAAAGAAAGGTGTCAACTCTGAAGCTGGCCTGTCTGAGGCCATCTTGGAGGTTTCAGTGTAGCCACAATGATGCTGAGGGATAGTGAGGGGAAAATAGAGATAGCTGGGGTTTTGTAGTCAAAACAAAATAGTTTCCCCTGAGAACCAAGGACATTCTCACAGGTGGCTGAGAGGAGGAATGAAGTTTCCAAGCAACCAGACAGCACCTTGATTGGACCATGTGACTAATTGTTTGGGAAAGGGGGAATAACTTTTATTTTTAATTAGGTGAAAACTGCTGGAACCTTTAGAGTCAGTTTTACCAGCCTGTGCCAATATATGTCCCAAAACTGTGATATGTAGCTGTACGTAAAGCTCCCCAAGTGCGAATTCCATAAAACTAAAATAGACTAGGCTACTGGATTTCACACAAAGGAGTAGAAATGGACTCTGAGAAAGGGAAAGCTGCACTAGAATGGGAAACCCCATGCACCTGGAAGCAAATGCAGAGCTTTCTCGGCTTTGCTAACTTTTACTGGCAGTTTATCCTATCCTTTGCCCAAATAGCCCTTCCGATTACCAATCTCCTGAAAAAAGCAGGGAGGGAAAATCTAAACTGAGTGAAACCACTTAAATGGTCTATGGAATTCCAAGCAGCCTTCGAGAAGCTTAAATGCTTGTTCACTGCCAAACCCATCCTTAAGCATCCAAATTCTAGTATGTCTTTTGTCATCCAGACTGACATCAGTAATGTAGCAGTGGGGACTGTTCTCCTACAGAAAAATAAAGAAGGAATCCTGCAACCCTCTGCCTACACCTCCACAAAGCTCTTGGATGCAGAGCACAGGTAGGCAGTCTGGGAAAAGGAAGCCTATATAGTGCAGGAAGCATTTTTCACCTGGACGCACTTTTTGGAAAGTAGCAAGACCCCTTTCAAAGTGTGCACGGACCAAAAGAACCTAGAGGTGTTAAAATATCCTACAAGCTATCTCCAAAACAAGTACAATGGGTGAAGTATTTTAACCATTTCAATTTCACCCTATGTTATTTAACCGGGAGAAAGAATTTTTTGCCGGATGCCCTCTCCAGGCTACCATAGTACAACAGCCCTAAACAGAATGCTGTTAACTCAGTCATTCCCTCCAGCCAGCTGGCAGCCCTGGCCACAAGAGGACAGACCAAAACAGTGCCCCAAGTGGCCGATGATCTTATACAAGCACTGAAAACATCCTTAACCAGGGATGATTAATTTATCCACCACCAATAGGATTGCACTCTATGTGATGGTCTGCTTGCATGGAAAATTGACTCTACATGCCCAAAAGCCAAACGCTACCCATTCTACAGTGAAGCCATGACTTTGTCAAAACTCTTCATTTAATAAAACTTCGGTTCTGGTGACCCCATGTGAAGAAAGACATGTGTTTCTGGGTGTCTGGTGTGTGCAGTGGCGAAAGACCACCTTGGCAAGCCCATGGCACCCTGGAAGGAAATATCTGCCAGAAACCTTATTATTAACCTCTTGTCTAAGCATGTACACTTTGTGGCTTGCTCCAAAATACCCTCTGCATGTATTCTAACAAAACACTTTATGCAGCACATCTACATGCTTCATGCCCCCCCTCCCCAACCAGATTATCTCAGACAGAGGTGTCCAATTCACCTCACAATTCTGGTAAGAGTTTCTCAAGCTGTTGGGGACACTCAGAGGTGCCATTGGCTGACTCAGGAGCAGCAGCAGACCCAATTGACCAGGCCACTGCCACTGCTCAAACTGAAATGCACTCCTTGCATCACTCCCAAACAAATGAAACCTGTGAAAATACAAGTGGCCTGCTGGAGCAGTACCTTAGATGTTACATCAGATACCACCAAGACAACTGGTCCAACCTCTTCCCATTTGCAGAAGTTGTTAAATTATGGGCTGAGTGAAGAGGCAGACATTGATCTTCAACTTCAAACTCTTTATTAAGCAACAAGAACAACAACCTAGTGGCTTGCTTGTCTCACAGCTCGCCCTTTTATAGGGAGCTGTCAGATGGGCTCAACCAATCAGGATAAACTATTTTTCCCGCCGTAATGGCAAACCAGAGTGAAGCCTTCATTCCTTGGCTTTACTCCTTCATTTAGATATTCACCACCACTCCCCATCTAGATAGGACATTGACCAGTCAGCGAGCGGCTTAGCTGACATAGTCGCGCAGGTAGGCGGGGTGGCGATTAGCTCACTCCGACCTGTGCAATTTAGTTGGAGCAGTGGTGGCGGCCTGTTCAGTTGGGTCTGCTGCCGCTCCTAAGTCAGCCAATGGAATCGCCTGGAACTCAGCCCTGGGCGTGGCCTGCTCACTTGGAACCAGTTCCCTGATGGCTCTCCACTGGATGCCTGGTTCTCCAGGTATGTGCACCCATTATTTGTTCGGGTTTTCATCTGCTGCTGGTGGGATTTCAGGACTTTTGTTCATTTCTAAAGGGGCATTTTTAGTTTGTGTTATTTCTGGTTGCTGGTGGATTGAAGTTCCCAACAGGCCACAGAGTTGATCGATGTGTCTTCTCCACAGTCTCCCGTCCTCTAG